AGCATGTGGATACAGCCATGGATAAATTTTCCAACTTACTCCTGGTATATGAGACACTACGCTTCCCACTCTTTTAAAGTTAGTTAGTCTTGAGTTTCATTTTCAGCTGGAATATTCTTTATTGATATATATTTTCATTTTCTAAAATTCAGATCTAATAGGTCATGTTCCAGTTTAAAACTCTAGGACTCACCATTTCATATAGGGTAAAGTCCAGATCTTCATCTAATTATAACTAATATATAGGTTTACCTATAATATAATTAATACAGAGATGGTACTCTATCTCACTGGTTTTCTGATGACAATGTTAGCCAGGAGTGGACAGGGTGATTGGTGTCTCTGGTCTGGTTGGTGTCTCTATTATCATAGTCAAGCAGCCCCCAACCTATAGATTGCTTGCTGTTCCTGGAGCTGATACACATTTTGGTAGATCTTCTTTCTCTTTTTCTTCTATTGCTCAGGATTGACTTATTCTAGCTCTCTTCTCTAGCATATACTCTGATCCTAGTTGTAAAGGCATAATCTTACAATGTAGGCATTTTACAGAACACTCCTTCTGGTGGTTGTATATACTGAGAGCAATTACTGTAGAGCCAGTAGAGCAGTGTTTCTCAAAGTGTGGTTCTTAGATCACAGATATCAGCATCATCTGGGAAATTGTTAATAATGCAATTTCCTAGGACCAACCTCAGACCCACCGAATCCAGAAATCTGGAAATGGGGTCCAGAAATCTATGTTTTATTGTTTTGCACGATAAACTATACACATCATTGTCAAGGAGGATCAGGCTTAGAGAACATCTTGGCTGAAGATTGCCTAAAACTCCCTCTCTCCTTACTCCAATATGCTTTGTTCATGCCTTTTTAAACTTGTATCTCATTGGTATTTTCTTTTCTATGGGGAACTCATTCATTCCAGGAATGAAGCTTTCCAAATCAATTGGATTTGTAGTTTAACAATTTCATGCCCACTTTGTATGAGGTGTTAGGTTCTCACTTCCCTGGATTATTCTTGGAAGACTGGAAAGTCAAACAAATTAGATTTTTATTAATCACCTGCCATCATATCTCCTTCAGGATGGAATTTTTAAATTGTCATATAGACTTTTCTCCCCCTCTTAGATTTGCCTTCTTGCTGACTTCAGGTTAGCATTAAAATCACATTTCTTAGGCATACAAAAAATCGATGACACTGTCCTATACAAAATAATTCATACTGTGTGGCAAGAATACATCATTCCAAGTTAAACTCGTGTCGTGCAAAGTCCATCAAGAAGGCAAAATAAATTTGCATAAAGTGAATTTTGACTATACTTGCATTATAAGCAAACATTGATATGAGCCCTATTTGGGAGTTTAGAGCATCAGCTCTGGAGCCAGACTTCCTGAGCTCAGATTCTCATTCACCATTTACTTGTTATGGGACCCGGAAAACCCCCTGTGCCTCAGTTTCTTTATCTGTCACAGAGAATATGTTTAGTAAATTTTAGCCAATGCTATAGTTGGAACAACATTCTGCAAAGGATGCCCACTTGTAGTAGTCAGGTAAGATTTATCTAAACATCTATCTCTAAAAACACATAGAAACTAACATTTTGAAGGTAAATAATTTGTTGAGAATGATTAAGTCTAAACTGGGAAATGAAAAAAAATTTTTTTAAATATTTATTTTTTAAATTTATTTATGATAGGCACACAGTGAGAGAGAGAGAGAGGCAGAGACACAGGCAGAGGGAGAAGCAGGCTTCATGCACTGGGAGCCGGACGTGGGACTCGATCCCGGGTCTCCAGGATCGCGCCCTGGGCCAAAGGCAGGCGCTAAACCGCTGCGCCACCCAGGGATCCCAGGAAATGAATAATTTAATAGTTCTTATAAAACTTGCAGTAGGTATTCAAACCTAATATAACTTTCAGGGGCATAAAATGAGATTTAGTAAAGTTTCCAATTTTCCCAACCCCAGAAATTTGCACCACTTTTAGCTAAAATAACAAGTTCTGTTCTTACTAATCCGCCTTGTTTTGACTATGCAAGTCCATCTTCCTTTTTTAACAGCCTTGTTCTCTTCTAGCCCTTCTGGTTTAGAAGATGTTACCTTATTGTTTATGAATGGATTGGGCTGATATGCTGTTCCTTTCATGTCTGTAAGCCCACATTGTGTGAACATTGTAGAAAATGTTCTAAAATTTGTAAACAGCTCAAAGTTTATGTTAAGATAAGATTCCTGATATAAACAAGACCAAATGAAGTTTGGCTTCTCTCTACTTTGGCTACAAAAGCCTGCCAGGAATTATTAATTATCCCAGGAATGTACCCTGATCCCTGTTGGCATACTCTTTGGGTGTCTGGGCTTAGAACTGTACTGTTTTTCCATTTTATATTCTGTCTCTTATTGACTACATTTGTGCGTTTGTAGTTATATCCATTGTATGCTTTCTAGAACTGATAATTCACTTAAATATTACATGTCTGACTGTATATATTTATTTAAAATATATTGTCAGGCCCTGTTCTAGGCATTAAAAATACGGTAGTAACTGGAGTTCTTGTCATCATGATGCTTATATTACCTTAAAGAAAATAATTTCCTAGAAGACAGAAACTAAAATTTATTATGTCTTCTTTGCTCTTAATAGAGTGCTTGGAACATAAATAGATGCTCAATAAAAACTCTTGGATTATTAAAATAAATATTATATTTAAGATATTAGAAACTTTTGAGGAGCCTGGTTGAAGGAAATTCATTAAGTAGAGATTTACAGTGAGAGATTATTTGAGCTGCAAGGTACTTAAAAGGATACCTAGTGAAAAGACTTAGCTTTTAGGTGAAATAACAGAAAAAGATATCTGTGTCAGTAATTAAAAATTGACTATAACTGTGTAGCATACCATACACACCACAGACCTGATTGGGGTCAGCGGAAATATTAGAAAGAATGTTGAGTTGGGGATGAAGAAACCAAGATTGGCTTGGTCACTTAGTAGCTAGCTGTATGACCTTAGGGAAGTCTCTTAAGCCCATAAAACCCACATAAAATGGCTCATTTGAACTTTCAGGAATGTTGTGAGAATTAAAGGAATAGAATATCCTGAAGGCATTTGATACATTTTTATGAATGTTAACTATTTTTCCAGGCAGACAGGGTTGGGTTTGTGGAATGTGTCTTAAATGGAAAGATGGTGATAAAAATAGGGAGTCTTGGGAAAAGGTGAAACATGTCCTAATTCATAATCATTTTGGACTGCCATGAAATTATCCTTCCCCCAAATCTGAAATGTGTGTAAAATAGCTTTAAGAATGTGTAACTGGATCCTCAACACACTCAACCACAGGGTGGTAACACACAGTTTAGACTATTTTTCTATGGTAGAGCCAATAAAAAAAATATTTAATCTCTTTCATTGTCAAATATTTAGTACAGAAAACAAATCAGAATTTAAGTATTTCTCAAGCCAATCATGAAAATATCTAGCATACTTTGTGGACAGTAATTTCTTGGATGATTAGTTAGTTTGCTCTTTGTTTTCCAGTAGGTACAATCATATTGTGAGATGTTCCATGTTTATGAAACTTATAGCCGTGAAGATGACATAACGCGTTTTGGGTGAGCCAAAGCAATAGTGCAAACATTTCATTAAACTTCAGACCAACACTTCGGGTTGTATATTTATTTCAAGATAGATTTTAAAATATTATTGAAAGTACATTTCTCATTGCTCCTTTTTTATTTCCATTTTTACATTGTGGAAAATGCATCAGACCGAAAACCAGCAAACATGAAAACTGGGCCCATTGTCAATTCACCCAGCTTGGATATGTTGTCTTTGGAGATGTCTTCTCTGCACATCTGCCCCCCCCCCCCCCCCCGCCCCGCCACCAAGAGTTAAACATTCTTCCATGGTGCTATCCTCTAATTTATACTATCTTCCTCTATCACACTTTTGTGTTCACATGCCTATCTTTTGTATCAAATAGTAAGTTCCCTGATAGAAGATAGTCTCTTTCTTCTTGGTAACTTTGACACAAGGCACGGCCCACCATTGATGCACAATGCATGTTTATTGGCTCAAACACATTCTATTGAAATTAGTATGATTTTGATTAACTCTGGAAAAATGCTACAAGTTTGGGACTCTCAGAAAGCATTTTATTTTGATTCTGATTAAGCAATCATTTGAATTTCAGAACTTCTTGTGCTTGATTTAGAGACATAGAAACCTAGACAAAAAACACTTAGATTTTTATATTCCTCAAAAAATTACACTTATCCTTTAAAGGAATGAATTTACTGAGGAAATTCATAGAAGCTGAATGTAAGTGAGCAAAACTAAGTGGCTCACGTGTGTGTGTGTGTGTGTGTGTGTGTGTGTGTGTGTAATATGAAGGTTAGATTGGAGAATGTTGTATCAAGATAGAGGATCTTGTGCAACAGACACTGCTCAATGCTTATTCAATATCCACTTATCCTTTCTGACTTAATAGCCCTGCCAATTAAGTGGAAATGTGCCCAGTTAAAAAATCTTGCTTTGGCAGCTTCCAGTGCAGATAGAAGTGAGACATGTGACCCAATTTTGGCCAATGTAAAAATTCTCTTATTCCCTTTGCCATCCTCCCAGATGGATGCCTGGAGGAGCAATCATCTTGCAATCATGAGGATTAAAGCCACATTTTGGGATTGGTTTTAATAAGAGTACAAAAGAAATTTAAATCCTTGATGACCATGGGCCACAGTACTAATCCCGCTCTTCCTATCCATGGACTTGTTGCATGGAACCAATAAGCCCCTATTTGTTTAACTCGCTGTTGGGTTTTCTTGAAATCAAACACCGTTCTGGTACATTCACCCTTCCAGGGAAGAGGGCAGGACATAACTTGTGAAGTCTGATGAAACTCGCATGTGGCAAAAATACTCTACTGAAACAACTCCATCTCAGCCCCTGGTGCAAGGGAATTGCTGTGAATGACAAATGGTCTCTGATCATTTTCTTTCTTTTTTAGTTTCTCCTGAGGCCTAAGGTTAAAGAACCCATGAAAGTTGTCTTGAGGTAAATATGTAATTTCAGTGGACATCAGTAAGTAAATTTCATCCCTATATGTATGCCTAGGTTTGACAGAAATCAAATAAGCAACATCCCTCACATAATATTGCCTTAATTAAGTTTTATTTCTCTCTGGGTGTGATACATAGTGCAGAAGCACAATCAATGAACATTGGCAATTTGCTTAAATCTTGCTCTTTTGTCCTATTTATATAATTTATTGTGTCAGTGGTTCTTAAGTGGTGTGCTTCTGCAGCTCATCATCTGAAAATCCTTTCCAGATGTTCTGAAAATATTTCACTAATTTGTATATTTTATTTTTGATAAGTAAGTACACATGCTTGTGACTGAAAGAGAAAACACCCTTCTTTTAACCCCAGAGGATAATATTTGGCCTTGAGAATAATTGATTCATGCCCTGCCCACTCCACCCTTATTATTCAAATAGAGATTATTGAAGAAAGTCCTGCCCTATAAAGTTAGCTGGTCCAAAAAGGAAAGGGAAAAGTACTTTATTTTAATGATTTCTGTGGGATCTGTATAAAACTCCATCTTTTCCCCCATTAAGAATCATATGTTCCTAGAATAGGTTCCATTCCTAAGTATCAACACTGGAACACAGGTTTAAGAGAAGAAGTGATGATGTCTGTCATGGCATTTATCCAGAGGTAATTTCTCTGGTTGGCGAATTTCAGGACCAGAAACCAAGCCTATGGGACACCTGGGTGGCTCAGTGATTGAGTATCTGCCATTGGCTCAAGTCATGATCCTGGGGTCCTGGGATCGAGTCCTGCATCAGGTTCCCCACGGGAAGCCTGCTTCTTCCTCTGCCTATTTCTCTGCCCCTTTCTGTGTCTCTCATAAATAAATAAATAAAATCTTGTGGAAAAAAAAAAGGAAACCAGGCCTACTATTTTTTGGCTTGTTAGACAATAAAGAGAGGATGAAAACTGCTCTATATATTCACATGAATAACTATCTGTTGTGGGCAGCTATTATTATGTACATTATGCTTCTCTTTATATATTACAGTTCATTGTCTTTTTTTCCCCTTGCATCTCTAGGAAAGATAATTGCAATCCTTGATAATAAAAAGCAGATCAATACTTGCCTGATCTGGGGGCTGGAGGAGTAGCTGGAAGAAGGTACAGGGGACTTTTATGTGATGAGGGAATTATTATGTACCTTCATATTGATACTAGTTACACAGGCCTATAAATTTTTCAGAACTCATCCGACTATACACTTAAAATGTATGCACTGTATTCTATATAACGTTTTCCACAAAAAAAAACTCATTAAAAATAAACAATGAGCGAGCCATGTGACCTTTTCCTCACTGTCACCTTCTAAATGCTTTGTGAGAACATCTGGTTGGCCAGACATAGTCTCACTCAGAAACCAAGCTTCAAAAGAGTCTAGCAAATGCAATTTTAGTTTTAGGTTCCATTCTCAATGGATAGGATCAGATACTAGAAAGTAGATGGTAGAGATGTTCAGCTGAGCCAACATTTAAGGTATAAATATTTCTCCTCATTCCTTTGGTATATTCAGGGGACCAGAACTAATGAATCAAGCACATACACACACACACACACACACACACACACACACAACACACACACAAACACATGCTCATGTTATAAACATACATGCAAATACTTCCCATGGATAAACACTTTGCTCAAATACAATGAACTGGGGACGCCTGGGTGGCTCAGCGGTTGAGGTCTGCCTTCGGCCCAGGGCGTGATCCTCTCTAACTAACTCTTCCTTATTTCATTCAGCATACTGTTTCTGGAATTTATCCATACTACTGACATGGTAGACAGGATTCTAAGATGGTCCCCAAGAGTCTTGCCTCCTGGTATACACCCTTTCTCTCAGTTATTCAAGGTAACACTAACCTAGATGCTATTATGGCGGATTTTTTTTCAGATGTAATCAGATTCTCTAATACATTTAAGTAGGAATATTTTCCTGTTGAACCTGACCTAAGCAGGTGAGCCTTTAGAAAAAGTTAGAGATATTTAAAGCATGAGAGAAACTTAACTGTTGGCTTTTAAAGAGAAAATATCCATGTTATAGAGAAAGCCCTGAAGCAGGGAGCACCAGGCAACCCCCAGCAGCTGAGAGCAGTCCTGTGTTGACAGCCAACGAGAAAGCTGCCACCTCAGTGTTACAATCATAAAGAACTGAATTCTGTCAACAACCACGTGAACTTAACGGAGACTCTGAGCTACAGAGTCATAAGACCACAGCAATGTTCAGCACCTTGAATGCAGTCTGTTGAGATGAGCAGAGACCCCAGCTATGTCATGCCCAGACTTCTGACATACAGACCATGAATTAATAATAGATGGACATTGGGACACCTGGGTGGCTCAGTGGTTGAGCTTCTGCCTTCAGCTCAGGGCATGATCCTGGGGTCCTGGGATGGAGTCCGGCATCAGGCTCCCCGCAGGCAACCTGTTTCTTCCTCTGCTTGTATCTGTATCTCTCTCTGTGTGTCTCTCATAATGAATAAATAAAATATTTAAAAAGATAATAAATGGACATTGTTTGAAGCTGCCAAGTTTGTGGTAATTTGTTATGTACCAAAAGAAAACTAATATATTGTATATATCATTAGATTGTTCCTTTTTTATTGGTGAGTATATGAGTTATCTATTATACACATTTGTCTGAAAACAACACATTCACTGTCTTATAGTTTCTGTGGGTCAGCAGTCTGGGCATGGCCTATGTGAATAATCTTCTGATTCAGTGTTGCTTACAAGCCTGCAGTGTCAGCCAGCACTGAGGTCTCATCTGAAAGCTAATTTGGGAAGGAACAACTTCCAGTCTCACTTATTGGGATGGATGGCAAAATTCAGTTCCTTTGGGGCGTTAGACTGATGGCCTCAGAGCTTAGATAGCTGTCAGCCGGAGGCACCTTCAGTTTGTTGCTTTGTGGGCACCTCTACCCAAAATGGAAATATGCTTCATCAAAATCAGCAAGGAAGAGAGTCTGCTAGTAAGATGCTATAATCTCTAGGAATATAATCACAGAAGTGACATTCCCTCAACAATGAGATACTTTATTTGTCAGAAAGAATTTGCTCAAGGAGAAGGGAGAGGAAGCTGTGAATACATTTGGTAGCTAGGAATACTGGGAGCTAGAAGCTACCTACCACCAGCATATGAATATACCATTCAACAGTAGATAGACACTTAGCTAAATGCCAGATTTGGACTATTAATTATGGAAAAAACAAGAGTTACTATGAACATTCAAAGTGTAAGGGTTCATGTGGGCACATTTCGTTTGTCTTGAGTGAAATTACAGGGTCATATAGAAAGTGTATGTTTAACAAAATAAGAAACAGCCCCACAACCTTTCCAAAGTGATCCTACCATTTTACATTCCTAACAAGGTACAAGAATGTATCAGAGTTCCAGTTGTTCCAAACACTTGAAAGTGTTGACTTAATTCTAGCCATTCAGGTGGGATTATAATGGTACTCATTATGGTTTATTTTTTTCAGATTGTATTTATTCATTATGGTATTAATATGCATTTCCCTAGTACATATTAGGTATGTTAAACATCTTTTTATATACTAAGAGGCAGGCTATTTGTATATCTTTTTTTTTTGAAATGTGTTTAAATGGATTGCTAATTTTTTATTTTTAAATTCTTTATTATTGAAGAATAATTTACATACAGTGTTATATTAGTTTCAGATATACAACATATTAATTCAACAATTCTATACAGTACTCAATGCTCACCATGATAAGTGTAGTCAATAGCAATGTTATAATATTATTGACTATATTCTTTATGTTGTATTTTTCATCTCCATGATTTATTTTATAACTGGAAATTTATAGTTCTTAATCTTCTTTATCTGTTTCACTCATTCCCCCACCCACCACTCCTCTAGCAACTCATTTTTTTAATTTGGGTTGCTTTAATTATTGAATTGTAAGAATTTTTCATATATTCTGAATACAATTTCTATATCAGATATATTTATTGCAAATTATTTTTCTCAGTTTGTGGTTTGCATTTTCACTTATCAACTTACTGAGGGCAAACTGGGTGGCTCAGCGGTTTAGCACCGCCTTCAGTCCAGGTTGTGATCCTGAAACCCAGGATCGAGTCCCACGTCAGGCTCCCTGCATGGAGCCTGCTTCTCCCTCTGCCTGTGACTCTGCTTCTCTCTCTCTGTGTGTCTCTCATGCATAAATAAATAAAATCTTAAAAAAAAAACTGAAGAGTAGTTTCATATTTAATTGAAGTTTATTTTATCCCTTTTTACTGTTATGACTGATATGTTTTGAAGTATTTATGAAAATATTTTTATAAAATATAAAAAATATATTTTTATCCCAGAAGCTTTATGATTTTAGCTTTCATTTTTCATATCTTGGACTTATTACAAGTTAATGTTTTTTTGCATATTTTGAGATAAGGGTTGGTAATTGTTTATTTGTAGATACTTTCAACCTTTCCAGGACCATTTGTTGAAAAAACTTTCCTTTCCCTATCGAATTATTTCATCTAAATTATTATGTCTAAAATGAAATGACCAATTTGCATGGTCTTCTTTTAAACCATTAATTTTGTTCCATTAATCTGTATGTGTATTTTTCCACAAATACCATTGTCTTGATTACGATAGATTTGTTGGAAACCTTGGAATCTATGTATTCCAATTTTGCTCTTTTATCAAGTTGTTTGGCTATTTTAGATCCTTTGCATTTCTCTCTAACTTTTCAAATTATGTTGTCAATTTTTCTCAAAAATAAGTCTTGCTGGGATTATGGATGGAGTTGTATGGAATCTATAGATAAGTTAGGAAGAACTAGTAACTTATAATATTGAGTAAACTAATCTATGAACATGGTATCTATCACTTTCTATAATAGTCTTCTTTAATTTCTCAGCAATATTTTATAGTTTTCATTTCAGGCCCTACGGTTTATTTAATTCTAAGTATTTCATGGTTTTAGATGCAATTGTAAATACTTAAAACATAATCCTCTTTTGTTCATTGCTAGCACATGAAAATACAATTGATTTTTATATTTACTTTGTTTTCACAATCTTATTAGTATCTATAATACTATACAAGTAAGTATTACTTGTTAATTCTAGTAGCCTTTTGTAGACTTCTTAGGAGCACTTACATACACCATCATGTCATTTGCTAAAACAGTTTTACTTCATACTTTCAGACTGTGTGTCTTCATTTCTTTGTTGTGTGTGTTTTTTTAAGTTTTTATTTATTTATTCACGAGAGATACACAGAGAGAGAGACAGAGACACAGGAAGAAGGAGAAGCAGGCTCCATGCAGGGAGCCCGACATCGGACTCGATCCTGGGACTCCAGCATCACACCTGGGCTGAAGGCGGCGCTAAACCGGGAGCCACCCGGGCTGCCTTCTTGGTTGTGTTTTATTACAGTTCACAACAATGTTAGTTAAGAATGTTGAGTGTGGAGAGCTTTTCCTTGTTCCTAATGTTACGGGAAAAGCAATTTTTCACCCTTCATCGTGATGTCTATCAGCTGTCAAGTTTATATAGATACCTTTTTTAGATTGAGAATGTTCCCTCCGGATGCCTGGGTGGCTCAGTGGTTGAGCGCCTGCCTTCGGCCCAGGTCGCTATCCTGGAGGCCCCGGGATCGAGGCCCATTTGGGGCTCCCGGCAGGGAGCCTGCTTCTCCCTCTGTCTTAGCCTCTCTCTCTGTGTCTCTCATGAATAAACAAATAAAATCTTAAAAAGAGAGAGAGAGAGAGAATGTTCCCTTCTATTACTAGTGTCCTGATATAAACAGGTATTGAATTTTGTAAAATGCTTTTTCTGAATCTAGTGAGATGATCTAATGGTTCTCACCTTTATGCTGTTAATTTGATGAATTATAATTTGCTAGAAGATTTTGCATAAGATTGGAGTTATTTTTTCTTAAGTCTGTGACAGAATTCACCAGTGAAGCCATCTGAGTCTGGAGATTTCTTTGTGGGATCATTTTAAATTAAATTCCAGTTTCTTTTTTCTTTTTATAAGGACGTATTCATTTATTTGACAGAGAGAACAAGAGAGCACAAGCAGAGGAACAGCAGAGGGAGAGAAAGAAGCAGGGTCCCCGCTAAGCAGGGAGCCAGACATGGGGCTCAATCCCAGGGCCCTGGGAGGTGACCTGAGCTGAAGGCAGATGCTTAGGCAACTGAGCCACTCGGGTGCCTCCAATTCCGATCCCTTTAATGAATGTATGGCTATTCAGATTTTCTGTTTCTACTTCTTTTTGAGTCATTTGGGTAATTTGTAGCGTTTAAGGAATTTTTCATTTTATCTATTTTTTAAATGCCTGGGCTTAATGCCAGTCATTGTATTTACTTATTGTCCTTTCAAGGTCAATAGAAGTTAAAACGATGTCTCCTTTTACATTCCTGATACTGTTGACATATATCTCCTCACTTTGTCTCAGTGTATTTTCCTTTGTATTTTCCTGCTGTGGGTTTGTTATGCATCTTATATAGTTTTTCTTAAATTTGGAAAATGTGTTCATTATAGCTTCAAATATGTGCTTTATTGCCACCTCTTTCCAGGCCTTCAATTGTACAGGTTTTGACTGCTAGTGTTGTCCAATAGATCACTGAGCTGCACTTCAATATTTCCATTATTGCCTTCCCCTCTGTGGAAGACAGCTGTTTTAATATCATTTCTTGTTGTGTCTCTATTGGCTAATTTTTCTCCTGATTGTGTGTCTCATTTTCCTAGTTTTTGCATGTCTAGTAATTTTTTAGTGAATGCTCTATGTGCACATTTTAAGTGGTGTGGCCAGCAACTGTTGTCCCCCTCTAAAGAGCAGTGGCCTAAGTTTTAGAAATCAGTTTAGTTCTTTGCCATTTATCTTGCTCTTTTTTGAGGTTTCTGTTTATTTTTCTTTGGCTGTAAGTAGAGCAACCTTTACTTTAGGTATAATTTAGCTCCACTATTGAGATTTGAGAGATATTGATATCTCTCCTTAATTTTGAGAGTGATCAGCAAAGATTCTCCACATTGGCTGGCATGAACTCAGAGGATCCCCAACTATCCCAGTCAACTTTTACCTAGATCATGGTGTTTCATCCTATATATATGTACACATCATATTATTTAGGTAAGTCTCTGGGGGAGCTTTATTAAGATTTCTAGTGTTCCTTTCTACATAGTTTCCTCTTTGGAACTTTATCTATGCCATCCTTCTTAGACCTTCGGAATTCTAATTTCTTTCTTCTCTACTTGTTTAGACAACCATGATCTGCTCAGAACCATCTTTCCTGCTTTATGTCCTAGAATGTAACTCCAGGTAAGAATCTAGGGCAATCATAAACTTCACCTCATTTGTTTCTATTTTCTCAAGGATCACACTCTTGAGTTGGCTATTGTCCAATGTACAGAAGTAGTAGTTTAAACATTTTTAATTGTATTTTTACTCCATTTTTATTTAATGTCACCTTATCTGT